CACGGCAGCTCTACTTCGGGGGCGGCTGAATTCGATCTAACCATCAAGCTAGTATCGAAAATCCTGCCGCTGCCGAAACTAACACTGTGACCTTCCGGGTCAGAGGCATTGCGTTGTCATCAGCTGATGCTATGAACCGCCTCCGCCACGACTGGAGTTTTGTACATCCCTGCCCGTGGAGAATATTTCGAATACGTAACCTATTATAGACTATAGCTTTCCATGTAAACGCCACCATTTACGTCAAAACATAAGGAATCATTTTTAAACCTTATATTTTTACAGATATTTTGATCCATTAAAGTGTAGAAAAGTACATAAGCTGTAATTTAGACGGTATAGCGATTTAATTAAATGTGCGTTCAGAGTAACAGATCCCAAGAACTCAAGAAACCGTGCAGGTATTGCACTTCTCCCTGTAACACGTCTTACAGTTCTTATCCGTTTTTGACATTAAATAAAAAAATAAACCGTAGATGCAATTTGTGGATATTACTGTGGCTAGCGAGATCAATTTTTGTTGAAAACAATCAATATTGTGTTAAAATTCATCCAATTTTCTACATCTTTACGACGTTAGTCTATCACATGTATTACTTATAGATCGGACAATCATGAATTCTCAGAAATCATATCGGCATAAAATTCGTTTTAATAAATAATGAGCCTGTGTTTGATTCTATCGTTCAAAAATATTTCTAGTCTGAGCATTTCACAATTTTTAGGAGTTACATAAGAATTCGATGCGCCTTGCAACTTGTGTCAACTCAGACTGAGTCATTGCCTGGTTTCCATGATAGTAGTGTGCTCATTGCAGAGCAATGGAAATTTCTCTCTGATGCATAAAATTATCTGATATGATAATATGCGGGAAATAATCTACTTATAAGGTAGATCTATGGTAACTTATGTAGCAGTTACGGTGTGATTTACGAACTCTTTATAATGATAGTTATTATCGGAAATAATAAGGGAGACGGTTGTGTTTGACACAATGGGCTAGTTTGTACCCGGATTCCTATATTAGCCACGTAGCCCCCTTAGCTGTATGTCTCATTTACTTCACGACGTAACAAACATCCCCAAGAAGTCGTGCATGATGAGTGCAAAGATGGTGGAACCGTGCTTTCAAATATATTTTAGAGAATGGAGAGTACTTCTTTCGTGAATCATTGATCTCCTTTAAGATTGGAGAGGAAAGCGCCTCTCTGCTTATACGTTCTGGAATTTCTTCAATTATCTCCAATGTGCTTAGATGGCTTCCGGCTTGACACATCTCACATGACCGCTCGGCACAAAACATAGCAATCCACCCGTTTGCTATTGCCCAAATAAATATTCATGTATATATATATATATATATATATATATATATATATATATATATAATATTTATTTGGCTACAATTGGCTGATTGCCAGGTGGTAGCCACAACCCTACAGTTTTACAATATATGAACATTTATAATACAAAAACAATTTACCATATAAAAACAATTTACAATACACTTCTTTCGAGCATATACGCTCAATATATAAACATACACAGACCTGTATACATCTATGGCACATATATACACCCATACACACACACACATATATACATACACATGCATACATACATACATACATACACACACATTCCTATACATGAATGCTCACTCTCACGTTCACACATAACACGAACACACACACACACACTTGCCCTACATATTATACATGCCTACATTTAAATGAAGAACATACTATATTTAGTTACACCTAGTAAACATGCACATATATACATATACATAAAATTAACCAGTTACACAATTTGTGTCATATACCTTTGTGGTCAGTGCCATTAATTATATAGACAGACTGGTAAAAATATGTCAAATTCTGAAAAAATCTTCGTCCACTTCGAAAATAAATAATCATTAGTTAATTGATTTCATTAATAGTTTGAAATGTCTTTTGACCTTTACGAGATCTACTTGAATTGTATTAAACCTGAACTTATTAAACGTTCACTGTTTGAAATGCTCACAGAAAATTCGAGACTTAAGAAGATTTAAGGAGAATCAATTAAATGTGTCCAAACTAATATTTTGATAAAAAATATTTGTTTAGGAAACTTTTTTCGAATCATTAAACATTCAGATTTCTAAAGTCTGAATCGAGTCCATCTCTGCATTTAATGAATTGGGTAAATTTCTTTCCACTTCACTGAGCGACACTTAACTACCCATCACTCGTTTTGATTCCTTGGAATCCACTGAGTATGATTAGTGTCACTTGTCTTTATCTTACCTTCACTTCTCTCAAGTGTTCAGTACTTGACACTCTATTGTTCAGATGGAGGACTGGCACAATATAATTCTGGTTGCCATATTGTTTCCAGTTTTAGTTTACTTCAGGAATCTGATTCTAACCTTCCGAGATTACACCAAAAGGGTATTCCCACCGTTTATCACCCTATTCTGATCAAAAGTGGACCTCGGGTAATTATGTTTGAAAAACATAACATATGTATGTAATTATGATACTTAAAACGGACATATGTGGATTGGCAACTCAGAAAATTTGTACTATACAAAATCTCTCAAAAAGACGAAGTAATGGAATAATCGGTATCGATTGTTCGTCAGTTATATTCGTCATTTTAGATCTAAGTAAAGCATATAGACTACCAAAACAATACAAATTATTTTAAAACGTACCTGAGTTATGGACTGGAACTGAAGGTAACTTTATTTTATTTTCTTGCATACTACTTACTATGAAAAAAGTGTTGTAGCTTTATTCGGGGAAAAAAGTATCGGCGAATTTTCAACAAAAAAATTCGTATTGAAGCCCTGATATCGAGAAGTAGATAAATATTATTCCTATATATGTAGTAAATTACTTCCCTCAACACGTTGTGTGTTGCGAACCGAAAAATTGGCTGATTAAAGCGTTCAGACCGTTTTCACCAAAATTGATATTTTCCCATCAGACTGAATCCGAGACCCTACAAATTGAAACGAAGATTTTGATTTTTGGGAGTACTTTACATCTTAAGCCTCAACATTTTAAAACTTTTCTAAAATATGGCTCAACATTTTTATTAATATTCTTCGTCGGATAAAGCAAACGATGCTTAAAATTGACGTTGATCGCATATTCATTGAACTCTCTAAATTTTTGAAAATTAAAAAAAGTTGCATCTTCCCACAACTACAATAGTGAAGTTAGAGATATTTTTAACAATGTCTGTTCTTTTCAGTTCATTCAGTCTGTCTGTTCTTAACGAGATTTATTTAAGGTAAAATAATTCTATCTTTAAAATTTTAGTTGTAGGAAGACTCTCAAAAAATTTCGAACTTTTGGAATTTTCGAAAAATTGTTTTTTATTTTAAGAATAACGAGTACCATTCTCTTAGACGTCCTTCACACTATCCAACAACAAAATTTTATCAAAAACGATGGTGCCACTTTTTAAAAAATATCGAAAATGTGCCAGGGACTTTATGTAAAGTATCTCTCAAAAGTAAAACACAGTTTTAAAATCACAGGGGTAGTGAAATCAGCCACATCGTTAGGGGAATATCAATTTTGGAGCAAATCGGCTGAACGGTGTAGCCGCTAGTGTTGTTCACACTCGGACGGACATACAGACGATTTTTCGGTATCAAGGACCCACGAAACCTGGATTCTGTCTACTCCAGAATGTTAATGAATTTTTTTCTAAATTTAGAAACTGGATTTACCACTTTTTCGGTACCAGGGCGTTGTTTTTCTGCCGAAAATTCGCCGTTACATAACTTTCCCTCTGTTCCGTAGCGAAAAAGTAAAAGAACTGACGATATTTCCTTACTTTTAAGGAAAAGTAACTTTATTTCTGGGCCTGTATGTGGTAGTACGGTTCTGACGTTCGGGTTCTGCTAAAGATGCCTTTAAGGATTCATATATCACAATTTCAATTTAGCGATAGATTAGAACATTATAAAAATAACAATTCAGAAGTCTGGAACTAATAATAATAACGAAAATAATAATAATAATAATAATAATAATAATAATAATAATAATACCAATCTCGCCTATGAAGTCGCAAGTATACCAATCTCGCCTATGAAGTCGCAAGTATACCAATCTCGCCTATGAAGTCGCAACTCAGTGGAACTTCAGTAAAGTGACGACTTTGCCTATAATAATATCAGCTACGGGAGTGATCCCGAAAATGACACTTCGGGCACTGGAGTGTCTTC